GTGTCCTTCTTGCTTTTCTTGTGCTTCATAATCTCTTACTGACTGGTTTATGTAAACATCGAGGTCGACGTCTGCAAGCAAATCGGATAACGCCTCCTGAGAACAGACGACGTTTCGAGCGAGGTCGCAAGCGTCTCGCAAGTGGTCAGGATGATTGACCTGCAGGAACAAACGTGTTTCATTGTTTTCAAAGTCAATGGACCAATCACGTTTAACAAACATGGTGCGCGGTATCGACTGCGTGGTTATTGTTGAGCTCAGTGAGAACAGGAACTTTGAACCTGAGTCCCAGTTTGTGTTCATCTTACTGAACATTTGTCTGGGCTGAATCGTTTTGGATTGAGTGACAAAGCAGCCTACTACGGTCACACCTGCGTTCTCTAATCTTGTGGCCACTTTCTTTATTGCCGCCGAATCGTTCTCTCCTCCATCCGTGGGATCACCGTCTGATAAGACAAACAACAGCTTTTTGTGACTTTGAAACGTAGACGCGTGTTTTTCAAAACACTTAGTCGCCGTACGGATTGCTTGATACAAGGGAGTCGCGCCGTAGATGTAGGGTTCTACTTTCTCTAATAATTCTCGGCTCCTTTCTTTCGAGAGTTCTCCTTCATCGATGTATCCATGTAATACATCTGAAGCTTCTTTAACATTGAAGATGCGAGGTTTGAAACTGACCAACAACGGTTGGGCCTTTGTCAGTGCTCCTTGGATGTCTTCCTCTGTAGCTTCTCGTATGGATGACCACACACTTGCACACGCGTGTTCGGCTCCGGTTAAAAGCTGTGCCGCTAAGGCTCCTCCAGGAAAAACTCGGCATTCTGGTGGTAGACACATTTGGACAAAAGTTTTTGGAAAATCTTCGTCCGACTCAGCTTTTTCCAGAAATAATGAAGCCTTGTGACGTGTAAATACTCCTTGGACGACTTCCCTCCTTGCCCATTTGCGGATGTATTTTGCACCGGCTCCCTCCAGTATTCGGAAAATCTTCTCTACCTGATCATCTGTGGCTTTCTGATCACATTTGGAAGACTGAAGACACGTCAAGATATCTAATAATTGGTCACCACCTCTAGCTCCAAAGGCCAAAGCAAATACAGAGTTATCAGGAGAGACGTCGTGTTTGATCAGGTTGTCAATAACTTCAAATATCGAAAGAGCCCACGGTCCTCCATCTTCATCAACACCACTTCCCACGTTACGACGCATGGAATCGGAGACGTCAAGAAGGATTCCAATCAATGCTTTGGCCATGCTTCCTCGGTCTAAATTTATCAAAGAATCAGATTTTTAAGAAGAAGTGAAATGTAAAAGAGCGTGATAAATGAACAAGAATAACAAATGCCTGCCTTATCATACTTACACCTTATTCGTTCTTGATTTCGCGGGTCTTTAATTTCTCGTTTTTTGCCATTGTAAAAAAAAAGGGGAAATTTAAGACCCGTGAATAAAGATCCTCTCGAAATTTAACACGCAAACTTTAATCCATTTTATAAAATTCAAATCACAGGAAAAAATGATCAACATGTAATAATATCAACGTATACGGAATATGTATCGAGAGATACACAAATTATGAACTGGTCTAACTGATAAGTTCTATTTTGTATCTTCTGTTCTGAAATAACATGATTAAAATCAAAGATGGCGGCCATAATTTTCGCTAAGAAAATACTGAGTTGACTTGGTTTCGAGACAAGTTTTCACAAAACTGGTCCCGCGGCGCTAACTCCTATACTACTCGAAACCATGGGGAAAGGAGGAACCGAAAACACTTAAACTATACTTCATCCTGTGCAACACAATCGTAAGCAGTACGGTAACGATCTTACCAACTGTCCGCATTTTGCCAGCGGTGGGTAGAACGGAAGCAGCCCATAGTGAAAAAATTGCTGGTTGATCGAAAGACAATACGCGCTGATCAAAGATTAATCGATTTTGTCGATTACGATTTTCTTTGCTTTTGTATGAATAATAGACGTTGTTGGACATTGGTTTACAAACTACGACCAGTTTCGCTGCTTTCCGACCGAGTAATGTAATCAAAATGGTCACACTGTTTTCTTCTTGTCAAACTAACCGAAGAAAGCGGTCCGTATGGATTCGTATGGATTTGCTTGAGCAAGCTGTTTAATGTTTTTCTGAAAACCCCGGTGTGGTCAGACTCTGGCATGGTTGAAGGTAAATATACCGTTCTGCTTTCGCTCTCAGGTTCGAGTTAACTCAGGCGGTAATACACCAAAGCGTCTTTGATTCCCTCAATTGTCCGTTATAGTTTTCGCACGGAACATAAATTTTGTTTCATGAAAAGCAAGCGATAGCAGTTCTTGTGAGACCGATAGCACCGAGAGATTTTCGATACTAGCCTTTTGTTCGCTGAGAATCACTCCTCTGCGTTTTAAAGCGGATGGTTTTCTCGGCACAAGTAATGGAGATCGGGTAGCTTAAGAAATGTAATTATTATTCAACGCGTCACTGTGTTTGCGTGAAATTATGTTTTAACCCGTATTACTTGTATAGAGGCTGGGATTGGGATTTTCGGTTTTGCGGTTTTGGCTATTTTTTAGATCGGTTTTACGGTTCTTGTGCCAAAAAACTTCAGTTTTTCCGTTTTGGTGTTCATTGCGGTTTGCGGATTTTCTGTTGTTAGCATATGGTTTTCGGTTTCCGCGAAAAATAGTAACTGGTTTTCGGATTTGATATCCGATGCGGTTTTCGATTTTTCCTATGTGACCTATTTGAGTTCCGGTTTCTCTTCGATCTGAGCGGCAATTATGCGCCTCCACTGATCTCGAATAGCCGCTAAACGCTGAGAGGAATGCGTGACAAACCAATTGAAATATCGCAGTGATCCCAAGGTAGCCAACGTGTAGCCATACCCTTCCCCCGCTGAGGTGAATTGGAAGCTAGGGAACTTCGCCTCCGTTTCTCCTGGGGGGGAGGGGGAGGGGAGGGTACGAGGCTACACATGGGCTAATCCCTGGGAGGTTCACGCGTCTCGAATGACGCCCAAGGCTTTGACCATCCGTAGGGGTTCACGCGCCTTGAATGACGAATATGGTGTAGCAGTAAGACGAAGGACAGTGCGACAAGAAACAACAATGGCTAAGCATGGAACATTACCAGAGTTTCTTTATCAACGCCACCTCGAAGTCGGTGACCAAGTTACAGGCTACCCGTGACTGATTGATTCAACATTCCAATAGAATCTTTAAACTTTCAGGTCTTAGTTCGCAAATAGAAATGTTAGATTTAGAATTTTCGAAGGAACTTTCTAGAGCTATCGCTTTTTGTGACTGCAAAATTGCAATCCTACGGAGGACTTTTGTGCGAATTTCCTTAATTAAACTGGGCTCCATTACCAGCTCCTGAGTGCGCAGAGACCACGCTCGAGGTCCTCGAGAGAGCAGCTGAAATAACGCCTATACGAATTCTAAGTCCATGGCATTCATAAATACTGTAACGAAGTTAGTGTAGTTATGCTCCACTTGTCACCCCCATGAAAATGTGGCGGTTTTGACAGTTTTGCATGCGGTTTTCGGTTTTGATCGAATTTTTTTTTTCGGTTTTTTGGTTTGTGGTGATTTTTTTCTACGATTTTGCGTCAGACAAGAGCACGTTAGAAGTTGAGATTCTTTTCCTTTTAGGGTCTACATTTGAATTTAACTCCCATCAATACGGAAGTGCACCGAAACGTTTTCGATCTTCCCTAAGCACTCTATCTCGGCTGGAATGCGACATGTAATATTTACAGAGATC